ACGATTTTTTACCATTTTTGCACACGCCGATCACTATAAGAATTCTCTGCTTCATTCGCGGATCGTCAATTAATTATTATTATAAATTAATAATTATTATAGATGATAATAATCTTTAAATTTAAATAAAGCTTTTGTTTATTTTATTTTTATTGTGAAGAATTTTTAAGATAGTATGAGTTAAATGACAAAAATAAGAAAAACACAAGATAATCTCAAAATTGAGTGAAGAGATAATGAAAAGGAATACTATTAAATATCAGTACTAGGTATCAAAAATTATATTAAATGAATTTAATTAATATATTAATGTATTCAATATTAGTTTTTTTTTTTTTGTCAATATTTAATTGATTATTTGTTTACATGTTAAAAATTAATTATATGGATATGAAAAAATTGGTTTAAATGATTATATGCTGAACAATGTACCACTAAAGAAGAGAAGGAAAAGTTTGTGATCTCACTGAGTTCTATGTTAACATTATAATTTCAAAATTTTTTTTTTTTATATAATTTCCCAACTTTACTAGATGTTCATGAATCATGTAATTTAAATAGATCTTTAGATAATCTTTCTATATATAATAAATTTTTATTAATAGATGTAAATTGAATTGAATTATATCAGTTTGTAGCTTCTGTCCTCTTAATTTTTCCATATATAAATATTTAAACAATAAATGAAAAAAAAATTTTTTTTTTCATTAATCATTAAAATTAAAAATTTTATAACCAAATATTTGACCAAATTGAATGAATGATCTTACACTCACTAGGAAGCCAAAGACTCACCATTTAACATAATAAAAAATTGCATATTGTTGTTTGTTTATAACTTAAAAAAATATCAACCAATTTACACTTATAATTGATAAATTAATATTTGCTGTTAAAATTCCAATTTTTGGAATAAATTGACAATCCTATATTCATTAGAAAGCTGAAGTTCCATCATCCATTATACTGAAAAATTACATATTGTTATTATGTAGACTTTAAAGATCACCAACAATTTAAACCATCAACTGCTCATGTTAATTTGATTTTTTAAATTTTGATTAATTAATAAAATACTGAACCAATTGGAATGAAAATACCACTATTAGGATGACATTCTGCTCTGATTTATGATTATGTGTGTTTGCTGAATTATTGTTGTATATTCTTGTACTTCATATTTGACTCATATAATAAAAAACGATATAATTATTTACTGAATTGTATTAAATACAATATTAAATATATTCATTTATTAATGTAAGAGTCATTTTAAACCATTATAATTACCTTTTAGTTTTCTTAGACATAAATATATCCATCCATAAGGTTGATTTTTTATATGGTAATAATAGTTATTCTAAAATTCACTATTCTAGTTGAATTAAAAGATATATACATAATCATGCATTTTCTTTTACAAGTAAAAAATATGTGAATTTTTCTATTGATAAAGAACTCTTCCAATAATTTACCATCAGCTATTCCAACCTTAGAAACAAAGCTTATTAGTAAAGAATTGTATTATTTACTAAGGAATTATACATTTGAGATGTGGATCATAGAAGTTGACCTTGTTTCCATTGTCCATGCCTCACCAACACAATGATGTAATACTATTTCTAAAAACCAAATGGTGGCTTCTTGTTTATGTTTTATTGAAATTACAAATTCAAATAATTTGTTGTGACATGATTAAGAATTGAAGGCATAACTTTCAACAAGAATTCTTTTCTGTTTTTTTTTGCAAGGAAATAAAATAAGTTTCAAAGAATGCATGTACAAAAATATTGCATTTCTGGTTAAAACTCCATGTGGGTGTACTAGGTGACGAATGAAAAAGTTCCTTCAATTTTAATAGTAATAATTGACATAGTATAGCAGGCTTTAATTAGTTGATCCATAAAGAAATTGATTGGATAATTTTATAATATGCCGATCATTATTAAAACTTTTTATTTTGCTTTCAAGACAATAAAATAAATAGATTCTTATCAATATTTTTTATTCATAATTGGTAATAAATAATTCAGCAAAAACATTAGGTGAAAACTCTTACTATAATTACTATGTAATAAAGTACACCTATGGTTTGAGACAGCATATCCTATAATGTTAAAAACCAACGAAAGTATCATTTACTCACTACTTGATATATTAAATTATTACATAGTTCTTATCTAATGAATGAAAGATATTGAATAAATACTGTGAGATCAAAATACCGCGTCTCACACAAATCTCTTGATTTTTATTTATGATGACATGCCGATACAATTTTCCCATTTATTTATACTAAAT